CAATTCACACAGCTTCGTCTAGACCCAAGTTAAGCTAGCTGAAGATTATGTTATGGGTACTAGACAACTGATATAAATACAAAGATTTTTTGTCGTAAATACATATATATTATCTATACATAGAAAACACCCAGACCGTTACAAACAATCATACTCATGAATACAAATGTTTGCAGCGTGCGAGGAATCGAACCCTCGACCACCAAGCAGGAATCAAAGCGGTGTGCTAGCTAAATCGCTAGACTACCGACAACTAGCTGTACACGCGACTTCGTCCGCGTGGAATTTAACTTCTTATATTTTATAAAAATAAAGTGAAATTCCACACGGACGAAATCCCGTGTACAGCTAGTCATCAATAAAAAAACACGTTGGTATCTCTAATATATTATACAGTAGCTGTTCCCGCGACTTCGTCCACGTGGTTTTTAACTTTATTTTTCTAAAATAAAAGTAGCCTAAGTTACTCCTTATTACATCGGCTACCTGCCAAAAAAAGTCCCGTCAAAATCGGTCCAGCCATTTCAGAGATTAGCTGGAACAAACAGACAGACGGACAAAAATTGTAAAATATGTTATTTTGGTGTATGTACCGTATTTATATTCATATGCAAGTAGTAAAAAACGGTTATTTCAATAATACAAACAACAGGCTTCAACATTCTCAAGTACCACAAAAAAGATGTTTTTTCTATGAAATAAACCGTTTTTATTAAAAACAAGCTGTTCCCGCGACTTCGTCCGCGTGGAATTAAACTTTATTTTTCTAAAATAAAAGTAACCTAAGTTACTCCTTATAAATCAGCTACCTGCCAAAAAAAAGTACCGTCAAAATCGGTCCAGCCATTTCAGAGATTAGCCGGAACAAACAGACCGACAGACAGACAGACAAAAATTATAAAAATTGTTATTTTGGTATATGTACCTTATATATATTCATATGCATGTAGTAAAAAACGGTTATTTCAATATTACAAACAGACACTCCAATTTTATTTATATGTATAGATTATTATTTATTTATTTATTTTTTCATCCAAAATAATACAAATTGTGTAGGATAACGTAATAGTAACATTACAGTAAAATTTTGTCAACAACATAATAGCAACTTAAATATTAAATCTCGGTATATCTATAGACTAGCTGGCCCCAGCGACTTCGTCCGCGTGAAATTTTATTTTATTTTTCTAAAATAACAGTAGCGTAAGTTAATCCTTATTACATCAGCTACTTGCCAAAAAAAGTCCCGTCAAAATCGGTCCAGCTATTTCAGAGATTAGCCGGAACAAACAGACAGACAGACAGACAAAACTTGTAAAATATGTTATTTTGGTGTATGTACCGTATTTATATTCATATGCAAGTAGTAAAAACGGTTATTTCAATATTGCAAACAGACACTCCAATTTTATTTACATGTATAGATGTATAGATTAAAAAAAAAGTAACAGTCATAAGGCTAGTCGTATGCCTAATATATATAATAATGTAATAAATTCATTTAAACAGAAATTGCGGCAACATTATTTAAATTTGTAACTTTTTTACTGTCCTTCTCCATTTTTCACATCTTTCTGTTATATCCCTATAGTTCTCTCTATATTTTCTGTTTTTCTTACTTTCAATTTGAGACTGTACTTATAATTTGATTATCAGATCATTATGTATTTATTTATATATAATATTTATACATTTATGGGTTATATTTAAATGAATTTAATCGATAAAATCGTTGTTAAGTATTAAATTAATTGTAAGTGATATTAACTATTATATTATGCATAAAAAATATTTGTAATAATAAAGAAAATACATTTAAAATATTTTACTTGTTGTGTTAGTTATTTATAAGATCTTACTATAATTGTTAGCTGCTTTACAATTTAGAAAGTACAATAGGTAATGTAAATTAAAATTAATTGAATACTTAACAACGTTTTGTTCGATTAAATTCATTTAATTATTAAAATAGTTAATTTAAAATTAGAATAAAGACAAAAAAAAAATAACAAAAAAAATCGGTGGCGGGAATCGAACCTTGAGCGTCCGTTTGGTAAGTTGATTCAAAGGCTTATTAAAATCAAAATTCAAAATTCAAAGTTACTGGTCATTTTGAAATAATACTTAGGGTTCGCATACCCTTATCGGATACTACTACTACACGGAGTTTCGTCAAAATAGAATATCTAGGTTAGGTATAATAAATTCATAATTAATAGACCGTTACGGTATCTGTATATACTCGGATCAAAACAAGTACTATGAAATAAGAAAGAGTATATAAATTGATTAACACAAGTAATTGATTTTTGAAATATATTCAGAGCCAAAAAGTCTTCTTTCTTTATTTATGTACTTGTTAGATGCGACAGCGACTTTGTTTTATACTATACTATACTATGTAATGATTGATATACCTAAAATAAATAAAATATCTGAGGTTTGGACAAAAACTCAAAGGGTAATTTATTTTGAAAAAGTATTTTGAAAATACCTATTTTGCTTTTAGTGTTATAGTACTTTAACTGTTATATTTTAAGTAACAATGTTTAATTATAATTAATACTACTGCACCAACACTCCGATCGTGCAAAAAAATTTGCTGTTTCATTATTTTTTAGTTCAATTAGTGGTCTACCTAAGTCCTGGGGTAAGGGGGGGGAGAGTCATGACGCCCCCATGACTCCCAAGACCTCCATGACGCTCCCCCTGGATCCGCCGTTACGTCTTCTCTTCATTCGCTCAGTAACGTTGTTACTAAAGGAAAAATTCCCGTCCAAAAAATAACAAGTATTGAGGTTTGATCTGGAGTCACGTTCCTCTAGACTGATTTCTATAAATATTTAGATTAGATAGACTATTATTCTTGAAATACTAGCTAGACATTATTAAGTTACTGTAGCCATAATGTAGTAGTCCAAACGTGCCAATGAGGAAGCCCTTGGCAAATGCTGCACCCTGATTGGCCCGTTTGAATTGGATCAAGAAGTGGTCGAATGCCAAAAAAGTGGATTTGTATAAAATCGTGTATAAATCGCTTAATTATTATTATTACTCGTCGTGACAGTTGTGGCTCAAAAAGGATCAACATTTATATATCGTCAGCTGGCATTAGATCAACAAAAGGCCTCCGGATCAACAAGTGAAAAAGGATCAACAAAAAACTACCTATACGGCACGTCTGAGCCACAAAGTGCCCAAGGGGATATTTATATATATATATATATATATATATATATATATATATAGGCATAAATTTCATATTGTTTTCCTAAAAATTCCGACTTCAATCTTGACTCAAATCAATTACAAAAAAGAAATGAGATATATAAATTTACAATTAACAAAGATACGTGTAACACAAAAATACTGATGTATATGCGAATATAAAGATGAAAATGAATAATTATACTGAAGACAAATGTTGTTTAAATACATACAAATTGAAGTTACCAGTCTGAAAGTTACGAGCAAATGAGCCAAAGGAATTTTGAACGGGGCAAGATAATCAAACACCTCGAACATCGAAGTTAGTAGCTAAACGCCAGATGAACTCGGCTCTACGATATTATGGTAATTTATCGCACGCCAATTTGCGCCACTTCGATTTCAACTTTATCGAACAAACTTTTAAACGTCGAAGAATACTTCATAGAAGGGGTTTTAAAGACAAAAAGGTCGATGTGGGATTTCGTACTTAGAATCTTATTTAATACTTATTTTGTTTTCCCGGTATCATTTAAAGAATCTACAATAAACACGATTTGAGACGTCATTCATCGGGGCAATATATAGGATACTAACAAATTGCATATTAAAAATCTAGTTGGGTTAGTCGGCTAAACTCGTTATTATCAATTCTCTGTAGTACATAGATGTTTTTGGGGCTGCGTAGCCAACTTAGGATATATATGAGTTTATAGCAATGTTGCAACGCATGCTGTTAGATAATACTTAGCATATATTGTGTTCGAAATTGTTTTTCTTAATATATTCACAGTGTTCGCAATCACATACGAATTAATGTACTTAGGCGGATTACATGTGACACGAGTTATCACGCGCAGGCGCCAGAGCTCTTGTAAATCTTCCATGTAGCTGAAACAGACAATATCTGAAAGCAAATATAGTTCCACTATTTAAAAATATAAAACAAAGAGGCAGATTAACGTATCACTCGTGCTCGGCGTTAATTCCTCAACTGACATGATTTATGGGCACAATCTCAATGTAATACTTACTCTTAATTTAACATTTGATTTAGCAACAGTTACAATGCAAACGACTGCCTGACAAGTGGCTTGACGGCGTAATCACTGGCATTGTTCTGAGTAATCTAGTGATATGGGCAGATCTAAGTTACATAATATGAAGCTGGGTAAACTCGCTAGCGACGCTATAATCTGACAAGTTCTTATGTGATTGACTCCTCGAGCCACTACAAATACTATTACACACATATGTTAATGTTATCGTTTAAATAAATAATTGTGAAAATCAAATAGTGGAATTATTTTCGAGTAGTGTATTGTTTGATGCCTAAACAACGGCGTTTCTAATAGGTTTACACTGAAACATTTTAGTAGGAGCACTTAGTCCACATTGCTATATGCCGGCGCTAGTTGAAGACGTAGTGGGTGGATGCTAATTGTTAAGACGCCCTTCCCGCTCATTGTTTTAGAGTAGACCATGATTGAAGTTTCGGCGGCTGCCGGGAGTGATGCGCACTAACCACCGAGTAAACAGCTCGTCTCGTCAGAACCACGGCCGCTCGCGCATGACACATGCATTAACAGCCGACCTAATATTTTCATAATCTAATGGCGATGTTCTGTGAAACAATGCTCGGTGTTTACTCAAACAATTATCTCTTATCTGTTGCTGGTTAGACTGACCTCTTTAAAACCATCTAAAATTGTTTGCGGTATCTTGTTTTTTTATTTACTCTTGCTACTAGCAATGACTTTGATTTTTAAAGTAATGTTTACTTGTTACAGGTGACTTTAGCTCAAATCTGCCGTGGTCACGATAGAACACCGGGACCTCACAATTTTCACGAGCCGTCTGAAGAGATGCGTCGGAAATTTGAATCATGGTGGAGTACACAATTAACTCCTAGAGCACCAGCTTTCAGTCCTCGTCGATATCCATCTCCGGGGCCTAAAAATCGATCGCCGACGCTGAATACAATTCCAGATCATTTACACCCCGCCTTACAAACTGTACAAAGTCAATATCCGACACCGAAAACAAGAATGCGAACAAGCTTTGATCCTGAACTTGAGTTACCAAAATTGCAACGTTGGTTCTCAGAGAACCAGCATCCGAGTCGGCAACAGATTCAGCAATACGTTCGGGAATTGAACAATTTAGAGTCAAGACGAGGCCGAAAACCTTTGGACGTTAATAACGTCGTATATTGGTTCAAAAATGCACGAGCAGCCCAAAAGCGTGCTGAGCTACGCAATATTGGCGGATTAGGATGCCAACTTAATGGTTTCAATAGTAGGAGCCATAGTCCATCAAATGGTTCGTTAATGACTGGTAATGACAGTTATACATCTCAAGATCACAATAATTCAATGAAAAGCCCTTTGCAGTTGTCAGGAAGTCCCGGCAGGTATCCTATGTCGGTAATGTCTGAAGACAATCTGTCAAATGGTGGTTCTGATTTGGAAGATGATGGGGCTGATTTAAATCCTGATGATCGCCCAGAGAGTCCTGATGCGCCACTTTCTTTGATAACGACGAAGAAAAATAATAATGATGGGGAAGAAGGAACTCAAGAATCGCCAAAATCACCAGATATTGTGAAGGTAATTTTTTATATCCTTACCGAAATTCAAATTTTATAAGAAACTAATAAAGATAAATTAAAATTCTTTTACTTAGATACCCTTCTTTATATTTTACAATATCTTCTAAATAATGGATAAAGTTTTAATTAATTACATGTTTTAATTTCATTTGATAATAATAAACCAAAAAATATACATTATGTACCATAAAGTTTGGAAATGATATTATGCCTAATTTGTTTTATTATCTTTCCTAGGTTGAGTACGTTAAGCAAGAACCAACAGATCTGAGCAAACCTGATCAAGGTAATTCTCCTCAACGTTCTCCAGCTAAAAACAGTGATAGCCCAAACAATAACAATAGCATTAACAATAATAATAATGAGGAAGAAAATGGAGTAGCTGATGATCACGACGTATCCGATGACGAAGTCATGCAAGAACATAAATACAGATCTCATATAGATCGCTTACCGTTTCCTATGGTCCCAAATCCTTCAATGTTTGGACCTCCTGGTATTATATATATGAGTCAATACATGAGTGGATTCCACGGAGTTGGAGGAGTACCTGGTGAGAGTGCCAGTGGCTTGAACTTAGCGCTCGCCGGCGCATCAGATGAACGTCGTAAACGCAATAGAACATTCATAGATCCAGTATCAGAGGTGCCCGTATTAGAGCAATGGTTCTCAATGAACACACATCCGTCACACAATTTGATACTGAAATATACAGAGGAGCTCAACAGAATGCCTTACAGGCAGAAGTTCCCGCGACTCGAATCTAAGAACGTGCAATTCTGGTTTAAGAATCGCCGAGCGAAGTGTAAGAGATTGAAGATGTCGCTCTATGAACCTTCATCCCCATCCCACTATTCTCATCCTGGACACCCACACTCGATTGGCGATAGGAAATTCGAGCCGAACAAAAGTATTCCGGGGATGCAATATACCTAAATTAAGAAGAACTATCTTTCTGTAAGATTTTGTTAATGGTGTCAGATTAACACGAAGACTGATTTCAGATCGTATAATGGTGTAGTGCCATGTTAGTATTATTATGACAGTGACGTCATTTTAACAATTCGTATTATTCTGAGGACTTGAGTGCCACGTCTGTGGTTCACCATAGGGTAGATATTACTCCAAAGCGACTCTTGTAAGAATAGTATATTATTATAATATAGATGTAATCTACGTATTTTAAGACAACGATAATATCGTTGCATGTACATATGTTATGTACAAATATATAACGGAAGACGCGTCACAACGCAAATATTATTGAATCTCAAATCTCTGTATGTATATGGGCGATGAACGACTCAATTTTATTTATTAAATATTTCTGATATAAAAATCAAACTGTTATAACTTTACTATTTTATTGATACTCACAAGTACCACTAAAATATTTTTAGTATTAGGTGACTTAGACGAATCGATGTTTAGATTGGTATTCAATGTTATTTTGTAATATATCTACATAAATAATGAGTCATTTAGTTGTAAGGATGATATTAGTGCACATATAGTAGAATATTATAACATAGATGATAATTTATATTCGGCCTAAGCTCCGGTTGATGATGGCTGAAGTAGATTGCGCACATTCCGTATTTCGTCTTAATTTAGTAATGCTTCCTCAATCCAAAGATTGGTTAGTGTTAATGATCTAGTAAGATAATACCAAACTGCTCACAACATTATCTAATAATAAAGAACTTGTATTACTATGAAATGAGTAATATTATTAAAGTATCTATAAAGTTCGGCATTTACTTTTCTGTTAAATTTGTTGAATTAATTATATTTGTTACTGAACGGAAACATCTATTCGTATGATCTGCTTGAGATTATGGTCTTGTGTAAGTCGGGAGAGTCATTATATCTAAAAATTCTAGTGTCATCACAAATGTAGTCATGTATATTGTTATTAATATTTAAATACATTATTACAATTAATATTAATTTTAACATCTCTATGACTATCACTGTAGAGTCACGAATATACAATTCCATAACTTACAAGTGTGTGCTTGACATTAGTTTTCTAAATTTGTTTAATTTCAAATTGTATATAAAAATAAAGATTATTGTAGTAATACATGTTCTTATTTGGATATTTTATTATTTAACAGTATTTACGCATTTATCGATTGAGGCTGTTTGTCACATTATGTATCACAAACTATTGTTTTATAGTTTTTAATCAATTAGTTGTAACTCTTATGAATTGTTTTCGTTGTACCATGTTATGTGCTTGTTTTGTGAAGCTGTGATGAATTTTCCAAATAATTATTGTAAATAATTTATTAATGTTAATAAGGGTTCCATTGTAAAAGTACGTCACTAGGCTCACAAGAACATTCAAAGCATTTACCGCTTAGGTAATAAAGATATTGGCTAAATGTTTATTCAATTCAATTATATAAACAGAAAATTTAATTGAATATTATAATGAAAATTATACCCGTTTTTTATTTATGTTCCCTTTAATTTGTATATAAGTATTCAGTAGCTTCAAGACACTTGTGATAACCACCATGAAACTATCAAATCTTATTGGATTTGTTGATAATACCTTAATTAATAGCTTTAAGGTACTCTTTTATTATCATCAAATTGATATACCTATTAGTGAAACTTCATGCTAATCTTCCGAAAATTTAAATAGCTATTTTCGGAAGATAAGCATGAAGTTTCTCATAAAAGATATTATTTTTAATTTATTGACTAAATATAACCTAATTAAAAGAAAGCATGACGCATAAATTATATATAGTGTACATTTGGAGCATAACATATATATGCTTGTATATACAAATGTATAGATACATATAACTAAATAAAATAATATACATGTAATAAGTTCTTTTTAAAAACAAATTATCTTCAATTTTTTATTACATTTAAAATGAGGTAATTTAGCTATATAAAGTGTAGAAACGTTACTTACCAACATGAGAAACATTGGACGTCGTAGTATAAAAGACTCAAGTACCTAACTAAAAAGAAACTGAATACATACCAAACTATGCCTATAATTGCGTATCTAAATTATAGAATACCAAAAGCGCTAAAGGTTAATACCGACAGGGTACCGGGAAGAATGATAAAATGAGCATGAGGTCAGATCAGTTACCCATCGCGACAAATTCGGCGTCAAATTTAACACGATGGTTTCCAAGTTGAACTGCGTGGAGTAGCATCAACATTATATGGCGAATAGATAGCAATGGGTTTATTAGTCCAGAGTACTAACAATCATTTTCCCTCTATCTATCTATATTACCACTTCGTATATTGCCACTGCTGTTAAACAGACACCCGTCAGTTCGCAATAGCGCCAAATAGATTCGAAAACTACGAGTATTTATTTCAGTAGTTTTTTAGTTTTCCATTACATTCTGAAATGAAATCCATTTTATTCTGCACAATGTTTTAAATATCCATTGCAAGTTATACATATAAATAGTCCTTGTAATTTCAATGCAAAATTGTTTCTTTAAAAATTATGTAGGTAATTTTGCTTATAACACAAATTCACTTTGATATTTAAAATATTATGTAAAAACAAAAAAATGTGGTTATGTAAAAACGGGCTGTTCCCCCTTTTTTGAAATTAATTAAAATTTTGTTAATTGAAGACTTTATCAACCAGTACGTAATTACTAATAAGTTTTATACATCAAGGAGATACTTCCATCATATACATAATTTTTCTACCTCTAATAATACAAAAACAAGTCGCTGTCTTTGTCTGTCTGGTTTTCCCCTTACTTTAAACCACGGAACACATTTTGATACGGTTTTCACTATCATTTCAAGAATTTCTTCCCGAAAGTTTATATATAACATACACGGCTGTACCGTGCAACGCCGAGGTGGGTGGTTAGTATATTATAATTTCAAACCTCAACTAACATGGAACATCCAAATGTCTATTGAAACAAGTGTCAATGCTAGTTACGAAGTTATCACCAATCGATGGGTTTCGATGGTGGGGCGGCTGCGGAAGCGGCCGGCGGAGACCCAAATCACCTGTCAAACTTGCAAGTCTTCATATAATCGGAACGATATCTGCAGACGTCTTTGTACTGTCTTCGATCTTCGAGAACGAGCGGCTTTCAGTCTGTGTTCTGGGGTTTACATATAGCTTAGTAAGTCAATCAATTCATATAAATTATATATAACTAGATATAATGTTGATGTATTCTATAGGAAATCAGAATTTTAAGATTTGGCCAAATCTATACAATACTACTTTGTACAAAGTCTACATAAAATCAACAAAATTGGAGTAAACTACGGAATTCTGTGACCAATGTATTTTACATCACACGTATTAGGTATTGGAAGGTTTCGACTGTTAATATTTAAAGTACTTTATGCTTAATTTCTACCTTGCATAACCTTATATTATTCCCGCATTATTTAAAAAACTAAACTAAATAATTTAAAAACGGTTCAATTGAAATCCATATCACCAATTCATTATACCAAAGTAATAAGTAGAAAACTTGTAAACAAATTCTTTTGAAAGTAATTTTGCTATTCATATTCTGTAGGCGTTTACTGTTCTGCTACTAAACGCTGCAATCCGATACTGAGTCAGTAATAATAAAAATGATCAATATATTGTTTATAACGTTTATTAATCTGGTACAAGTATTTCGAGAATGTAAAATATAAAGAGCTATTCATTTGTAAGTACCGTATCTTGAGGGCATGATCTGAGAATAGATACGTTCCAGCACAAGACGGATTATACCAATTAAACGGAGATTGAAACTTTGAAGAATTCTTTGATCAAGTAGCAAGCGTGCTCGCTATGGGATTTATCCAGTTTTTAGAGTAAAACGAATGATTCCGATAATATTTTTGATTCTTATTTAGTAATTAATAGGTAATATCTAATTAGGAATATGCTTGGAATATTTATTGAGAACAACTAATTTTCACAGATATGATTTTTTAGATTTGAATCAAATTTAAAAATGAGGTTTTTTTATTTGGCCATATTTCCTTTGCGTGAAAGTTATCGAGTAGATAGACTTTGTCCAAAGTCTTCTCGCATGCACACCTCTGGTTCGCTTATGTATTTCAGGCGTCAAGAATTGGTAAGATAATGATAAGGCAGTAAAATTACAGGGTACAAAAGCATCAAACCTAGTAAGGCATCATACGTCCGTATCTACTGATTAATAACTCCATCAATTCGTACCATATATTCGGAAGTACTAAATTAAGAATGGTAACCGCGTTATGGTACTTCAGAGCTCACATAATAACATTGATCTCCGTTGATTCATATACTTACTGGTATATAAATGATAGTTAATATGTATCACCAGGTGGGTTATCAGCTTGGCTGCTATGCCAGTTGTGTTATAACGAAAAAAGTTATATATTAAATACTTAGTTATATTTAAAATACATTGATTACATATATTTAAATTAAATATATATTTATATCATTTATTAATGTAGGATATTTTAGCCGCTATGAACGTAATTTTTTTGTATTATTATTTTAGTTAGTAGTTTGAATTAAGATGAACTGGCAATAAATTAAAGTCAATTACTTTTTCATTAAAATACATTTAATTTACATTGTGTAATATTTTTTTTTTACTATTCTATTCCATCGCCACCTACTTTTTGTCTTCTGTCCTCTACCCAAAGATTATCTGGAAGAGATTGCATAAGCGATAAACCGCCGTTTGGCGGGTACAAAAAGCAGTATAATTTCTAATTTCTTAAATTATTTTGTTAATTTTGATGTATATTACCCCTTATGTATTATGTATATTACACCTTATGTATATAAGGTGTAATAAAGAGTAAATAAACATTCTCTAATTATCATTAATTTAATCGTTACCAATTTTTATTATATGCCAAATTTAACGTTTTTTATAGTAGCGTAATTACTTGGCATATAAATGCACTAGTTCACACATACAATATAGTTTATTCACCTACAATGTAGTTTATTTTACGAAAGATAACAGTGTTAAATAAAAAATATCGTTTGTTGTCATGTTAATATCAGTTAGAGGCATTACGTTTTAATCTAAACAAAGTGGCGGCAACGAGCGGAGACGGGCATTTATGTTAGTTAACCGTGGATTATGATGTTCGTAATAAAGCAATTTATTATACCCCCAAGTAATGGCGCTTGAAACCCGAGAATTTACTGGCTTCTTATAGAATAAACTACGTAGTCATTTCCCTGGTTTATATAATACCGAGGAAATATTTTGATGAAATGGTATCTGGGATATTATGGACATTCACGAGCAGACTTCAGGTACTTAACGAAATAATATACTCACTTTAACTACAATATAATTGTTTATCTTCATTAATTTTTTTTTATTGTGATGTTTTCAAATGAAAATAACTCAAATGTTCAATAACAGAATTATGACTTACTTTACTTTAATTAAAAGCGAGTCCTAACTATACTTTCTTATAGCTATAAACAGAATTTAATAGGTATTACAATTTGATAGTTATAGAAAATATATATTATTGTTAATGTATTAATTAATTTAAGTTTATTTGATACATTACACAATCGTTATCAAAGGTTTATCTGCACATCTACATGTAACATATACGAAGAACAAATATTCACTTCTTAGCTTACTGGATTTATTTCAGTTACTCGGAGACCAAGTCACTTGTAAAATATAATATATATTTAATAAAAATACTAATAGGTACTGTATATAATACCTACATAATAGTCTTGTTAACTAAGCGCAGTGCAACCGACATCGGACGATCCACAGTGTCTGTACACGACAATAAAACTCTTAAGCCCGTTGCCTAGCCTGAAAGATTTACTCTGCCGACTTAATACAACGTAATATCGTTGTCTAAGAACAGTACACGTTGGGGTAAACAAGCGAACAAGTGTTCTCCAAACCAACGTGGAATTATGCTACTTTTTTTTAAATTTCCAATTTATTACCACAGACTGAGAAGTGCAATATACATATAGTTGATATTCTACTATATATAGATTGTATACCTATATTTTGATTTTTACTTATATGTCGTTGGAAGAAACGAGATACATAGATAGAATATATTTAATTTGTAAATGAAATGCATAAAAAATATATTAAAAAACATGAATCTTTCGATACGTCGGCTTTATTGCTGAAAGCAATCTTTTTAAGGCAACCTTAGAGAAACGGAATTAAATATCGAACAAGTAGGTAATATGCAAACAGGAGAAAAATTAAAAAAAATTAAAAACATAATGGTGATAAAGGAAAATAATACAAAGTATAGAATAGAAATAAGAAACTAGTATCTACCTACCTATGATAGAGGCTCGGTCTACTTTAGATACTAGTAGTAAATTCTTTGAAATATAAGCTGCGTATTTAATAAGAATGCAATAGTTCATGAGAATA